GCTCCCTAACGGTTTATTATATAAAATCGACTACTTTCGCAGTATGTATACAATGTATATTATATAGAGTACCGCGTACGGCAGCTAGTTATGTAGACCCGCTTTCTCGGTGCCCGATACATATCTATATATTGTTCGATTAATTATTTGTCCCTTGTACACATTGCATATTATTATTATTTATTAGGTAGTAATCACTATCGACTATATTACTATTACTATAATTGTAGAGATGAGCGATAGCGCAGTTTTGATTTCCATACTAGATACTCAATATTTTTTCAAATAATTTATTTATGAATTCCTAATCTAATCCCTCTAAAGTTATTATTAGTACAATATAAAACTTAATGTAGTAATATACAACTGCTATATAAACTATTAGGTCAACATGTATATATTAAGCAGTAATATCTTGTAACAATATAATACTATAAAAGTACCTTTACTCGTATAAAATATCGAAATCGAAATGAAAAAAGAGCGATTCCTATGCATAGATAGGTACTTGGTACTATATTAAAGGCATAATTATAGTAGGTATCACGTGGTAAGAGCAATCGAATAAACGACCGTCGCCAGTAGTTATATAGGCCGGGGTTGTTTTTTTTTTTAAATGGCTGAATGAATAATTCATATCATTATATGCGTTTGTTTACAGTCCGGCGAGACAGTGCACAACGCATGTACCTACTCTATAATAATATGTGCACTGCACACATATACACTCGCTGTACAGCTAATATATTATTACTTATAGTATAATATAATTACCATGCAATGGCCAAAATTCATTTACGTTGACCTCATCTTTGCCCGTTGCGCGCTCAAGTGCACCGTTATACCTATTTTTTTCTGTCTACAACAGCGCGCGTCTTCTAATCATCATCGGCGGCGGTGCATTTCTGTGTATAATTAAAAAAAAAAAAGTAGTAATAATAACAACACAAGTTTGTTTCTACAGTTTTCGTGTGTCTGCGCGCACGCGCACCACCGCTTTACACGAGAAAATTTATGATATTTTTTGTGCATATAATATATAATAATATATATTATAGGTGTGCCGGTGTGGTTTACCTATTCGTAACTTACCTATACCCGGCGTATTTCACAGAGGCTCGGCTGCGGCCGTGGAGGCATAGATGATTCGCTCGTTCGTTATCATAGACATAATAACTATATGGACCGCCCATAGAGAGAGAAATCACATCACGTGGATATTATAAAGAGACGGATAAAAGTTACAGCTACGTCTGTGGTGAGTAGTGTCCAAAAGTTGATATCGTCCAACTCTGGACATTTCCCATGGTTAGTGAATAATACCATCATGATACCATCGACCAATCTACAGAACACACGATGAATGTAGTATTTTCAAGTCATATGACACAACGGACGGCTGAAGTCGTTGGTGTTTGATGGATAAAACAGTACAAAATAATTTCACCATATTATGTTGAGAGCTGGCGTTTTAACCAGTTGAAGTTGTTCGAATTGATATTTCTTTATTCTTAGTTATTTCTTACCTTTTAAGTGTGAACCTTAATCGTCGTTTTTATAGAAGTTCTTTACTTAATAATAGTGCTTGGATTTTTTTTTTAGTTTAATGTCTGTGGTCGTAATATATTATGTTGTGTGGTGTATACGCGTTGAACGAAAATTGTCTACAGCGATAATCACAAAATTGTACTAACTTTTTTTCATAAAAAATATTCCTATAAAAAGTATAAAACAGTAATGCATTTTTAGATAGGTTTGTATCGTACTATATACCTAAATATCGATCACCCCCAATCCTTTATAGCTAAAGATTTATATTTTTGTTGTTTTCGTTTTCCCAGAAAACCGCTTATTAATCGTTATATATTCATGTAATAATATATTATAATACATGCAGGTGGGAATTCCTTTTATCGACACGTTAATTATAATACGTCGGCCATCTAGTTGTAGGCCGTTCGTAGCTTATCTATAATATATCATAGGGACTGCCGCTACGGACGTAGCGACAGCATAGGTAAAAAATGCGTCGCTTTCACCAGCGACCAGCGTACACCTTTGACACACGTTCAGAGCGTGACTCTTCCTGTTCACAATTTTCAAAATAATTTATGAGATTCTAACCTTCGGCAATGTAAAGCAAATCCACTACGATATTATTCTAAAATTCTATATCAACGTTGCTGATTATATGGAGATCATTTGAATATTGTAGTATAATATGTAGATATTTCAGCCTTCAATCTGTGACCCAGTATAAAAATAAAATATTTTATAAAAGTCCGAGCAAATTAATTCCTAGGCAATTTGTCGGATATGAAATGTAGCCTCGGCAGCATATTTCCTAGGCACCTTTTCTATCGACTTTTGTACAGATGCATTGAGTCATACAAGTGATAAACTGCAGAAGGGGGTGGTCTACGGGTCTGAACCCACCCCCTACCCCTGAGAGTGTCAAACTTAAAATTAATCAAAGAACAACATTTCTATAGCAACGTTTGAAAGTATTTTTCCGATTTTAGACCCCATGATTATATCATAACATTTTTTTTTTGTATTTCGTAACAAAAAATTTATAGTTCTTGGACTTCCCAACCCTTGAAAAAATCCTGATTAAGCCACCGTGTCATACAAACGGATATTGCATACAATTTTTTTGGTGCATGACCTATATATTATATTATTTTATTCTTCTGGCATTATTGCATCGAGATGCAAATACTCTGTGAAGTACGTCGTATCCGTTATTATTGTTACAAATAATAATAGTTATAACCTCGGCATTCGAGTAGGTGGTTATTTTAATACGCGATTGTATATTGTGCATATTATTGACGTGTAGCGGTTGCACTTAATGACATTATACATTTAATATATCACGTATAGTATAATAATAATAGTTTATCGTTAGACTCGTCGATAAATCAATATACTGTTTGACACTACTTAATATGTTTAACTCTAGTAGGTATACCTATGTTACTACCTGACGTACATTATTGTTAATATGCATACAGGAACTGATAATTTAAGAGGCTAACCTAACCGAGATTAGATGTTGATTTTGTTTTCAATTATACATATTTTCGAAATTTAATTTTTTTTACAATTCTTCTATAATGGCGATTCAATATCGATTTCCGATCCGTATTTTTCAAGTTATAGTTATCGTGGTTAAAAATATACATCGGTAGTTATGATTGTAGATCGACCTACTTATATTATGCATAATATATACATATATTGTATTATATAATATTATATTATACATAAAGTGCTGCAGTTAAATACTAAAAATTATTCGACGAATTTATACGCGCCCGCCAGATAAATAACGGGTGCCAGGTTTGGTGTATTTATGTATACATTTATATGACCACATTGGTACGATTGTCTATGTAAAATATATTAACTGACTTTTCTACTCATAATTATGTCCAGCGAGGCACGATAAGTTTTTATTTCCGTATGATCGTATAAACACGGTACATAATATTATGACTATTGCGTTTTAAAGTTTTACGCTGTCGATGTTTCGAGTAGTATCTACTATATTATGTAGGCATAATATAATATTATAGTATATAGGCACTCTGACTGCAGAATCCTATGATGTACCGAACTAAATAACTGGTCAAAAAGCGCGTATTATCTCAGCTATAATATTATATTACCTACACATGCGGAGTGCATACTATTATTATTATTATTATTATTATTATTATTATTATAACACGCGTATCTAATTTCACTTATGCAAATCGACGCAGAAACCTGCGGTAAATTCATAAAATTCAGATCAGAGCGCGCGTGTCGTCGGGGATACACTTACACATGCGCTCGTATAATAGACCCGGCGTACAAATTCGATTAAATTTCGAGAACGAGTTTATCGATATGCGCTCGTACTAGTACATATATATACTATATTATATTCTATGCGTTTAATGGATCGAAAACACGCCATGCGTGTGCGTGTTAATTTAAGACGTTATTTTACTTGTACCTCTATATAGTTATAAGGTACGCGAACGGCGCGCGGTCGGACCAAAAATAGCTTTTTTTTTAAATATATTATTTGTTTTTTTCTTTCTTTACAGACGACCCACTAATTATATTATTGCGATTCGCGAACATATTGTAATATTATATACATATTATTATTATATCTAATGCAATCGAGCGAGCGCGCGTGCGTCCATTATAATATTATTATGTATGTTATAATATAATATTATTATGTTATTAGAGGTAGGTATACGTATACATATGTTGATCCGGTCGCGTGTATTATTTTCAACGAATTCGATTATTACCTATTTATCTTTTCTCGACCGGTGCGACGGTGCCACTTTCTATGGCGGCTCTGATTTAGTTTTCGATCGGATTTCGAATCGTTGTAATTCGTATAATATTATATTATTATGGTAATATAGTATGTATAAGTAGGTGTTATTAATTATCATATCATTATTGTATAGTCTACGCATATGATAACCGTCTGCTGGGTTCACCGCAGCTCCTGCAGTGCAGTTAAATAGCTGTATAGTGCGAAAAAGGTGTGTGCCGATAAATTAAATTAGGTAGGTATTAGTGTATTAGGTTAAAACCATTACATTCCAAACTTTCCGAAAACATTTTATGATATTTTTTGTTAAGAATTATCATCGTTAAGTTGTTATCGATACAACTGTTTTCAGTTTTGAATTTTGATCGAATTTGTATAATATAAAACGTTAAAACGTTTTCGACTTGTAACGGCAGTCAATCGTACTTGAACCCTACAAGAATGAAGGGTGTGAGTCGACAAGATAGCCCCACCAAATTCACCTGACTTTAAACGGGCGGATACGGATAGAGCGCTAAGACTTATAGGGTGCCTGACTACTTATACCACTCACCGCTGGCAACCTTATAAGAATACAATATACTACGTGCTTTTATTTATTTTAAACGATGTTGTGTTGATTTATAATTTAATTTGTAAATTGTTTTTGCAGGATCGGCTAGCCGGACATGGTACAGTCGCGTCGATCGGCAGTGGCGGGGGCGGGGGTAGTGGCGGTGGAGGCGGTGGTGGAGGAGGCGGCGGAGGCTCGTCACCGTTCAGCCCGCACCACCATCACCACCATCACCACCACCGGAACACGACGCCCACCAACGCCGGTTCCAACATGGGACACCACCAGGACTTCCAGCCACCGTACTTCCCGCCGCCGTTCCCTCCGGCCCACCATCACCATCAGCCATCCGCCGGCAACGCGTCTTCGCCGTCCGCCATGGACTACATCAACGACCCGTATTCGCAGACGCTCAACAGCCTGCACCAAAGCGCCCAGGCCGCCGCAGCCGCGCACCACTACAATCAGCTGACCGTGGCCGCGGTGTCCGTAGGCCAGCGGCACGACGCCCTCCGCCGGTCGGACTCGGACTCCATACACGTGGTGAGTGAAGTTTCGGATTATAATGTCCGTTGTCGATATGGTTAGGTTAGGATATGACCTACATAGGGCCGTAGTGTATATATGTATAACATTATTGTCTTGGGAAATGGGGGGGGGGGGTCCAACTTTAAATAGTCTCTCCATACCAGATGCATAATACATATACTATGATGGATGGGACTTGGCAAACATAAGTACTGGGTGGGGGAGGGTTGTTGACATTTAGTATTTTAAGAATAGGAATGCAAATTGAAAAAGTTGGCATTGATGAAACAAAATTGGAATATATTATAAGTACACCATGATTTTCATTTTGCTATCTCTTATTCTGTTTTTTGTTTGGAAACAGTTGGTAGAAATAAGAATATCGTTTGACCCATCGAATAATACCTGCAGGAGGGTAATTGCACTTACACGCTCTAACTAATGCCATCGGTGGATGGGTGTACCTATACTTGGAAACTGCAATACTGTGGTGTATACGTATGGGTGGGTAACACATAATATTCTCCACCGTATCAAATGCGCTAGCCATTAAAAAAAAAAACAAAAATTAAATTACCATGTTTAACCCTGGTTTTTGTAAGGGGCTTTGTGTAGGCAATTTCTAAGCGTAAACGAAATTCCAACGACTAAAATCTTATACAAAATTATCTAGTATAATAGCAAACGTAATCTCACCTCTTTTTAAAGATTTGTTGCATAATTATGAAAATATATTTTAAATTCGTGTGAATATTGCGACCTAATATATAATATACATACATTATTACAGCATGATTTCTTATCATGCTCACTCCATTTTTATAGTTGAATTATGCATTTATTCAAATTCTGGTTTTTGTCATTTTTAAGTTTACTTTATAACAAATATTTCCAAATGAAGTAAAATGACTATGAAACTACTCATTCGAATTTAAATACCAGTACATTAAAATTTTTACAATAATCTGCATTTAATATTATACTACTTTATTTAAATTAATGCACTGTTTAATCATATGAAAATGAGACGAGGGTGCTAATACTAAAACAGTCTCACTCATGCATATGCACATTTCGCACATTTAAGTGTTATGACTTATGACATAGCATATACGTAAGACATATAAGCATATGCTATATGTATATAATTGTTGGTGTTTGGAGTCTTCATTGACGTATCCATATCGCGAATTTCCGCGTGGAATCGTTCGCCCCAAGGATGGATTCTGCCACTACATTCACACGATTTCTGACGCATACGAAATAGATCTGTTAAAAGAGTCCATCCTAAAACCACCATTAGTATTTACTATTTAATAACAATACACGATATTATATAAAACCTGGACATAATTGCACTATTGCAGATGAAAACCTATATAACCTGCGGCGATATGATTGACGGTTCCCTTAAACGAAATATCTTATTATGTCAAGTACCTACCTAGTTTAAGCCCGCCACGTGCTATACCGCGTTTTAGTGCCAGATTCCATCTCCGCGATGACTGAATAGAATGCTTTTATCGTGTATTATGATGATTCGATGCTTCCTACTTTATGTAGGTGGATTATAATTTCTAACCATCATATAATATATTATTTAGGTACCTACCACAGATTAATGTAACATAATTTCGGTCGGCCCGCATTCGATTCTTTAATTATTTCGATTAATATCAGCATTTATATTTTATTCACATTATCATAACATGTACAACGACAGGTTATCGTCGAGTGAATAAATTATACCATACAGGTACAAAATAATAAGTATTACGTAATATACAGCTACAGGTAAGTAGGTAACATATAATAACACAGTTGCTACCCTGCACAGGACACCTGCTAGCTTATACATTATTTTTATTCCTGGGTGACTGATGGGTGGGGAGGAAATACTTTCGGACAAAATCTGGCCCACGCAGAAAATTGCTCCTCGAATCCACCTTTGTCTCAACATCTAATCTCGAATTTCAATATTCACCAACCCATCCTATTATTATATATTATATTGGTCCAACCAATATAATATGATAAAATGTTGGAAGCGCGTTTACACGTTTCGTTATTGTTATCGCGCACACTTGAATCGATCAATCACGAGCCGTTTGAAATGGACAACTCGAGACAATCGCAGGTCGCGCGCGTATACCTATATCGGAAACGTGACCGATCGTATAAAAAATCGATTCGCGAGTGACTCTCGCCCCCTCGTCTGATTGTAATAATTGTAATCCACGAACGAGCTGGTATTGCACTGCGTGTTTTCATATCACAGCAGTGATGTCGTCCCATCGATAGAAATTCGGTTACGGAACTCGATGTTAGTAATATATTATTATTATATTTTTTTTTATTGTTGTCACGATTTAGTTTACGTGATATATGCCATGTACGCATGTACTGATATAGGTATACCACGCGTCTACCAGCAGCACAGTTACCCTTACCGCGGTCAACAACGTCAGCGTCGTGCGTGAAAACACATTAATATTTCATTGCTTATGTATAACGTCATGGCGATTGTCAAAATGTCCAATCATGAATTAAGTTTTGAATTTATATAGTCACTAACTTTTTCTGTCGCGTGTCTGTCCTAAATATATTAACGTCGATAAATTTCACCGAGCTCGCAAAATTTATAATATATGTATTATATTATGTACTTACCTGACTCAAATAATTCGTGTTCACTGTCCACCAATTACGTGTAGGATCGTAGGGAGTGAAATTGAGGGGATTTATGTTTTCTGTCATATTATAATCCTAGTTTTTCCAAAGTCCAGAGCCTTGACTCATCAGAGAACCTGCAGTATTTTTTTTACATCATAACAATAACACCCTGTGCTTCGCATCTAGTTGATATATAATTATAATACACAACAGGCTACAGCTAAAATTATTCCCCGCGTAGGCACCTACACAATGTTAACGGCAGCGCGTAACTCACGAGTGCGTCACACGTCGCGCGAGATAAAATTCATATTATTATAAATCTGTTCCGCGAGCTCGCGTGCGCGTTCAAATGACTTATACAATATGTATCTGTATAGAAAGAACCTGCGGAGAGGAGAAATGGTTAATAATATTATTGCGAGCACATCCGTTTTCGTTTCGCATATTATAATATATAATGTCGTACGTTATAATAATATAGGAGGTGTACCAAACCACCGCACCGTAACTCGCTATTTGCACGCGCGTGCAGTAATGTCGACATTATGTCTCGTGTATAAATTATATTTTGCATATTTATATATAATGGACGAGCGTTTAACAACAATTATTATACACACACAATCGCGTATTCTGCTTTCAATCTTTTTTTTTTTTTGAAATCCCATTATAACATTATTATATAGGTATTATATTTTATTCCTCCGTGTTATCATATTGTATGATTCTACTTGTACGACTACCCGCGCGCACCGGTAGTGCCACCGAGTGTGCTCGCCTATATTATAATATATATTACGTAACCTGTATGCCAGTTAAATGACTTTAACACGCCATCCCTTGACCACGCCCCGAGATCGTATATTATTACAATAATAATAATAGTAAAATTATAATACTTTTCATGCCCGAGAAATATATTTTATTATCTTTTCGTTTCACGCATATAAAATCACAACGCGTGTGTGCGTCTTGTCTCCAAAGAAACGTGACCCGGCCGGCCCCCGCGATAGCTGCGACTTTGACCCATAAAGTGTCTGAAAAAAGCCGTTTAAAGAGAGAACGAAATCGAACTTACATACACCTACCCGCTACCTATAATTATGCATATATCGGTATTATTTCTGTATATGTGCGTAATAGTTGACATCGGTTCTTTTATTTCCGAGATATTAAATAATATAATACGCATGGGGAATTTTTAAGGATGTACACTTCGCATGATTAAACTGTACACATTCATTTAAGTTCTAATTTCTAAGGAATTTTAAATACACTTAAATACTACATTTTTAATACAACATTAATATTCAATATCCCATGTATCCCATATATAGTATAGTATGATCGTTAGTATCTAAAGAAGAATAACTCAAATACCATAGATTACAGGTACATTATACTCTTTCAAATTTTGATTTCAATTGGTACCTAGTACCTATATACAAATATGAAAAATAAATCTTAAATGTTTTAAAATATATTAATTTTAGATAAGTATCTAGGTATCTACTTTAAAATTTAAAAATCTGAATTTGTTTGCATAATTTAACTATAAAAATGTTGTGACCATTTTGCTTATAAAATCACCCCGTACATTATTATATTGATATCGTATTTATTTCAAATTTTCAACAATATTATTAGTAAATACTATTATACTATATTCACCAATACTCGATTTTATAAAGTTGCGTACTCGTCATGAGTTTAAATCGCGAGGAGGTCAGAGTTTACCACGTAAGGTTATCATACCGCAACCGCGGTATTATATTTAACTGATATAGTAGATTATATTATTATATGTATTATAGTCTTTGCATTCCGGTAGCGTGGCATGAAAACTACGTCTTGCACTTCATGTCGTATAAATATAGGTACATAATATAGGTGTACCGCACTAGGCACGACGAAACGGGTCCGGTTTTTATAACAACGCTGCCCGGTCACCATAACGTCATAATAATATATAATTATAATATGTATCAATAACTGTTGTCTGTTTGTCTATAAACGACGAGTTTTAAAATATGATTTTTTTGTACAGGCGCATAGCCAGGTGATGTTTTTGGTGCTATTTAAACACTCTCTCTTCTATCCATTACTATATAATCTAAGTATATATTTTATGTGTGAACAGCCCCCTCCCCCAAAGTTGCATTCAAATGTTAAATTTAAATATCCTAGGTTAGGTTATGGCCTATTCGCGACTGAATATGTAATTGTTACGTATATAATATAAGCGTCCGTTAATATAGTAATCTACAATTACGTAATTTTTTGTTAGATATTTGCATACACAATCGTTTTTATCGCTCTAGACACGATAATAATTCGAC